CACCAATCTTCTTGTCCAGGTCAATGCAATGCCATGGACATGATAACATCCACAGCTCTCTTGCTAAGTGTCTCCAGAATGCACTGCTACAACTACTCTGTCTTAAACTTTCTAGGAGGGCACAAAATTACTTTATTTTGCTGCCATTTCCCTAGTCAATATGGTGGATGCCAAATCACAGGAATCTAAATATACCTCTCAAATATCAACGCCATTGCATATTCAGATATGCACAGCCAGTTTTCAGCTGTAGACTTCAGGAGAAAATTACCAATGGCAAACTCAGGATCCTGCTGTTAATTAGAAATGCAATTTGCATTGAATAATAGAGAACACGGAATGATTTTCAATGTATGAATTTCTAATTTCTTTCCTGGTATTTTAATTACACAGCATCTCAACAGGAACTGAGATAAAAAGGCCACAAAAATAGCTTAATTGTTGTTGATCACCTGGGATGCAGAAGTGTACCACAGATCAGACTGCTCTGTGGGCACCATTCCACCTGCTGGTACAAGACAAACAAGCTGCCACTCCAACTTCTCTGTCAGATACTGTCAACAACACAAATGGACCCCTACAGAACAAGTAGACAATAATTATTGCTCCTGTAAGAATTAGGACTCCTACCTTCTTATTCTGCCTTTCTTGTTTTTCCTTCTTGTTATGTAGCCCAACCAAGGCTATGAAGTAGCTTCTGAATAAGCCCTGCACAAAGTTTCTGCATGAGGCATTTTATTTTGCCACAGCCAAACTTCTGACATAAAGCAACCTCTACTCCATCTTTGAAGAATTCGGTATTCCATGCAAGTTCCTTTTGTAAGGGCAAGTTGCCTATAGTGAATTAAGTCTTTATAACTAACTGAAAGAGCACACCATAGAGAACTGACTTCTAAAATGAAAATAACCTTTGACATGTAGATCATGTGTAGGCAGTGATGCTATAAAGATCTCTGGCTAAGCCTGCAAAAAGACCAAGGTAACAATTATGAAGAGGACTGAACTGCTTCACTAAAAAGAGAGCTGCTGCTAACTCAACTGGAGCACAAAAAAACAACCTGAAGGTGCAGTTTTCACCACCTTAGTTGAACTGACCTGAAGTCCAACTGGTTTGAGAACTTTTTTCAGTCATGAGGTCTGAAATGAAAGATATGATTAAATATCTGGAAGCAAGATCAACGCCTTCAGCAGCTGTTTCCAATGGAAAAATTAAACTCATTACAAAACTTCACTCTTAATCTCACAAAAACTCTCACCTAAGAGCTGTCACTGTTCACCTTGGCAAAAAGCACTGTGGCAAGAAACAGGAACTAGCTATCATGAGTGATAAGGGACATGAAAATGTGTACCATGAGTACCTCCTAACTTCTGAACCTTTTTACCACTCCCCTTCGTGATTCTAAAAACCTTACTATATCAGGAAATTCTCTGTCTGCAGAAGAACTTGAGCATCTCATAGTGCTGGAAAGACTGGGGAATGAAACTAGGTAGACCACTTGCCACCAGACATTAAAACATTATTTCCTAAAAGGTGAGACTTCAGGAGCACTTAAGTCATCAACATTCCTTAAGACTTTATCAGAGCTTAATCCCTGTGGCTTCTTACAAGCTGCGTACACCACTCCAAAACGCACTGTAACCCCAGGTCAACATTGAGTTGTTCTGTTGCCCCTAGCAGCAGCAGATGCTGGTTTTGTTGCCAGATTCAGACTCCTCTTCCAAACAACACAGATAATTTCATCCATAAATACCAGCTGCTGTGGAATTATTACCCCAAATGGTACAGCATTTGCACCTGACCTCATACTACCCTCATAACTTTACAAAAAACATCCCCCACCACCTGCTACTGTGCACTGGAGTAGAACAGCTCACCCCACCATTCCACTTTGAACATCTATGATGAAGGGAAGCATGAATGGATTCAAAAGGGTCCAGAAATTTGCAGTTTCCCCAGAAAGGAATATAGAGAATATACCTCAGGAAGTCCTGTCACCAGATCTAACCCTGGTTTGACTGTAGAACTGTTCTGCAGTCTCTCTGTCCCTAGTTAACCCTTCTCCCCGCTGCCCTATACAGCTTAGAAATGAACTTGATGAAACATGAATAAAACACAATGCCCATCATTAGTTCTTGTTACTCAGCAGAAAATCAATACATGCTCTGTTACAGCACAGGACATGCTGTTACTCCAGTCCCTGCCCTCTGAGGGAACAGCTCTCACAGCCAAACCTAACACAGCCTGCAGCAGAGGAAAGGTGGCAAGATCTCAGCCACAGTTGCACAGCAAGGACGCTGCATGCCTCAGCCATCAATCACAAAATAGGGTTTTGGAGCTAACTGGTGTCACAGACTTTGGAACTCTTTGGACATTTTTCAGATCTCAGCTGCTTCTCTTTGCCAGATAAGCTGGTATCAGCTATAGGCACACTTTATGAATGTTACATTCCATTCTTAATTTTATTTGTTAAAGGTCTGATGCTTACTAGCACAGTAAAACCCTAATCTATACTTAGAGCTATTGAATGCACCTGTAGTCACAATATCTCCAATTTAACTAAGACAGATTAAAAAAAAAATCTTACCATCCCTATAGAAACTGTAGAGTCCCAGCTTATAGTGGGATAAATGAAATGCAATTAGGCAGAAATGTGATCATGGCCATACATCTAACACAGGGAAAGATGGGCAGTGATGAGAAATAAAGATCTGGGTCCTGCAAGATTATTTGTGCTTCCCTTCCTATCTGGCATCTGTTTCAGAGCTGTTCACTACGTGGGTGTTCTGCAGGCTGGCAGCAACGCAGAACACGGTCATTTCAGAACACATACAAAAAAAGAAAAGGCATTTATGCCAAAACCAGCACAGAATAAATGTACTGTGAACAAAATGGGGAACTCTTCAGGCCACATTCTCCAGTGACGTCTGTGTCAATCACATTCTGTATTGACTGGCTATTTATAGTGGTTTTCAATATTTACTCTCCATGTAGCAAACTAAGTTTGCTACAAATGGGATTTAGCTGCATAAGTTAGGGAAAATATCTTCATTTTGCAGACAAGTCAGTGCTACACTAAGACTGAAGAGTTTTTTCAGGGAACACAGAAATGTGCAATGTCAATACACCAGACTGAACATGAATGTCCTGGCTCCATCACCATGCAAAACAGTGTCATTTTTTCCTCCTTTCTGAATAGTCCCTTTCAACTAGCCACATGGCCCTGCTTTACCAACTCACCTGAAGCAACAGCTACCTGCAGTTTAGGACAATTCTTTTGCAGGCTACAAAAATATAACCTGATAAGTTGGACAAGTAGTTATTTTGACATCTGGAATCAGATGAACTTCAAATCTGCAGGAAACTCAATAAAGCCAGTCTGTGGCTCAGTTAATTATTTCAGATCACTGCCAGAACACATGGGATCATTCACAATCACAACAACCCAAGTGTTTTCACATTGCAGGTCCACAGTCCTTCTGCAACTGTATGGGGCACAATTTTTGCAAAATGGTGCAGATGTGTCACATTCAGACCAACAATTAATGCCACTTCCTTGGAGATCCTCCATACAGGCAGCACTGTGAGCTCAAAGCCCTGCTGTTTGTGGGGCCCTGCCTATGAGGGCACATTGCAGTATAAGGGAAAAAAAGGGCATTAATAAATAGTGAACAGTGATAAGTAAGAGGAAAAAACAAATCTCTTCTCCCCAAATAGCTTCCTGCATGTCAAATAGAATTCTGTGACTAAGGTGTTGCAAAACACTGCCTGGTGGGGTCATTAAAAACCTTAAGCACTGCCTGTTCTTGCACTGCCTGATACTGTCTCGAGAGGGGTGTGCAAAAATGGCATTTTCAGCCAGCCTAACTGGGTGGTAATAAAAAGACCCTAAAGAGTAAAAACAGACCTGACTCCACAGCAACAACATACAGGGACAAGTGTTTGTTTTTAAAAAAATCCATTAAAAAACAAGAGGCAGCCTAAAGCAATTACTTTTATCTACCCTACTGATAGCACCAATGCTGTGGGGAGAACCAATGCTTAGCAGCATGGACAGGTAGTCCATGCAGGACAAGCTGGCAGTGAAGTGAAGCATGACTGAGACAGTGCACTCAGTTTTTCAGTTTTTAGCACAGTCACATTCTCTGCCTCTTCGTTTCTAGGAACTCAGTCTTCATGTCCTGGGAGATAGATGAACTGGCTCAGTCCTTTCAGGGCTCTCATTCTTCTGCTGTAACACTGCAGCACTGCTTTTCTCCTCTGTCAATCCTGCCACCCGAAACTACCTCCAAAATACACTGCATTGAAATCCACGCACAAGGTTTGAACACAATCAGAACTAAATCAACTGAATTGAATTGCTCCTATACTGCAATAGGGAACTTAATTCTAAATCTATCCTGGAGATACTAACTGACCCCAGCAAGCGTTAAAATGGGAGCTAAAATGACTGCAAAAGTTTTAGATTAATACTACAGTGACAGATCATTAGATTTTCTACCTGAAAAAATTTCAATCTCATTTCCATGCTAGGTCATTTATTTTCTTAAACCTTTTATCCAAAAGGGAAGAGTTTTGAAGCTTTTTGTCTGCCCTCCCGCCCACTTCCCAAAATAATTAGTATGCATGAAAGAAATTGCATCCAGATACCACTTTTCCCTAAGTTCTGTGCTCTGCTCTGTGCCTGTTTTTCCTGTAACAACCAGAAGAGTGCACCCATAGAGAGACCACACTACGCTCCAAGCAAAGAGCCTCTCCAAAGAGGAAAGTCAAGGATCATGATACATCTCAACTGCTGTAAAATGAAAATGAGGCACCATATCAGCACTTATATCCAGAACAAAGAACACCATGTAGTCAAGTCCCTTTTCTCAGCCTCACTGGATAATATTGTCAGTGTATCAGGACATTCAGGAGTGACCAATACAACTCAATTACCATTAGTGAGAATTGATGGGAATGATGTGATGTTATAGTGAAAGCACAAAAAATGCTGGCATACCTGGAGTAATTTCAAACAGATGTTTCCCTGGTTCATCAGGATTAGGTGGCAGCTCGTTCACCTGACTGCCTTGCAGTAGTATCAAACCCTGTAATGGACACAAACATTAGTGAAAAGGGAGAGGCTACTTAAAGGTAAGGAAAAGATAATAAAATGTATAGTGAACTCAATTCCTGCTCATCTACAGGTCCAAACACCTTTCTACAGTTCTGAGCAAGAAAATATTTGAGCTGGTCACCCACCTGCTTCACTGCCCTTTCTCTCACACTGGACACTGCTGGTTAGGGCTGTTTCCTCTGGATTAGCACTTCTCTGAGCATGCAGAAATGATTCTCCTTGGTTTCCATACCTAATTGTCCTTTGCAAGAGTTTCATCTCACATTACATCTATTCTTCCTACACCCTTGAATTTCTGGTTGCAGCATGCATTTGAATAAAATGGCAGATTTTCCAGAGATGCTCAGTACACAGAAGTTCCCAGGGAAATACTTGAAGAGAGCAGCTAATTCAGGTTTGAAAGACAATGGACTACCTTTTAATACAAAAGACTAAGAAAAAAAAAAAATGAGCTCCTCTACTTCCCAAGTTCAAATGCTGCCAGTATTCAGCTTCATTTCCACTTTGTGCCTAAGCATAATCAAGACAATGTATTCCAGTTAGGGAACCCTGCATAGTGACATGGTATCTTCAAAGTGAACAAAATCCTCTTAATCTATGGAAAAGCTGGAAAAGACATCACAGGAAGCTCTTCTCCAGTAACCTGAGTGAAACAAGCATTTAATCTCTGATATTTTAAAGGGTTTCCAGCTAACATTCTTTAGGACATATGCACAATCAGACAGACAAATTACAGTAAAAACTGGGTCTCTCAAGAGTTAAGCTATGAGGAAGGTAATCAGCAGTTCCCACTCCTGCACTGAGCTGCCCTGGAATGCAAACGGGGTTCAAAGCATCTTTCTTGATGAACAGAAAATGAACAAAGTTGTTTCAGTCAGGTTTTTCACACATATCTCTGGTTGATGAGCATGTAGCTATGCATGTTTACAGATCTGGCAACAACCAAATCCAAGACACACTGGACCATCATAACATTGGTAATCAAAACAAATTCTAGTTATGTTATTTGTCAGCTTCCAGATCCACATATAATGGAGTAATACAATTAGTGTCTCATGAGACAGACAATCCAGAATTTCAACTAACAGAAGACAACTTATCATAAGAGCCTTGCAACCTTCTCTATAAAACAATGAAGCCAGATGTGTTACTTTTCATCGTCACTATTCAGTATAACTTCCATAGCTTTGCTCCTCAGGAATACATCCTCCTACAAATGCTTTGTTCAACTTCAAGTGTCAAGGCTCAGCTCCTGTCCCCCACCCAGTGTAAGGGTAAGGTTGTGGAAGGACATCATAGAGGAGGGCACTTAGCAAAGTCCACGCTGAGTGGTTTCTCAGGAATGGCTGTAAGATTTTAAATTGAGGTAAAACAAGTCAACACAATAGGATAAGCCTTCACTACCCTTACCTCCCAATCCTGTTGCCCTGCAATTTGACTCTGAGGTTCACTGAAATTAGAAGATAAACTGAAGACATTCCAGAGATAACAGGAAAACACAGGAAAGGCAACTTGACAAAAATGCAGATGCATCTGAATTCCAAATGGTATCAAAAAGTATTGTATAAAACATCATCTTTAAAGTCCAGTGGCCAGAACACATTCTAGAAAATTCTGCTGTTTTATAAAGTGGAAAATTCAAGCCCACTGCAGAAGCATTAAAGCCTTCCATCATGTCAAGGAAGGGTTAATGAATTAGTAGCACAGTGGCTTTTTTTCCCCTGAAAATTAGGGAGGAGTGCATGCTCTCTCCTTTCCTGGGAACAGAAACAAGCCCAAAGCTACTTTAAAAACACAAACATATTGACAGAGTCAGTAGGAGCATCAAAAACTCTTTACAGGTCAGTCCTCCCTTCCCCCTGTCCTCACTGGGCAAAAAAAAAGAAAACTCTGCAGAAAAGCAATGGTTGCAGATCCACCCTCTAACCTTTGGTCTCTGATGGAGTGGGCTGTGCAACTGCAACTGTCATGTGGCACACAAATATACACACCTTCCACAGTACTCAATCCATTAAGACAACTCTTACAAAAATTTTCTTTCTTAAGAAAAATTCCTCTTCACTCCAGAAAGCCTGTGTGATTCTCCTGCCATTAGATTACAGCTCCACCTTTTCAGCAATATTATTAAAGAATATTTACAGTTTCCTCTAAGAATCTGAAAGAACAGCTTTCATAAAAATAGGCAAATGCAACACTCATGAAGAAAAAGATGTTTCATGTTTCTCTTTTGAAACATTATGCCATAATTTGACTTTATCAGGTAAACAACAAGAATACAACTCTCTTCCAGAGTATATGGAACATGTATAAATAATCCACATGTATAAATAATCAAGTAGGTGGAAGATCAATGGGAATTTCAGTGAAACTATTGATTTAGTTTCTACACACAAGCTTAAAGGCCACATTTAATAAATAAAACAAAAATACTTAAAGTAGGCATGAGTACTTTAAGCCTGAAGAAAACTAGGGATTAATATCAATAACAACTGGAGAAAATATCTCCATGGCCTATAAAAAAAAAATCTCCCTACAATAAAGGGTCTCAGCTGCCTTCCTAAGGTGCATGGGCACATCTGTGCCATTGCCCCTTCATTCCAGAGAATGCCAAGAAACAGCTGTCTGTAAGTCCCAAAAGTACATCTCACCTGTGGGATGCATACAGTCCTGGCTGAAGTCAGATGCAAATCCTAATTTGCAACTCCTATAAGAATAGTCACAACACAGTCCTGTATCATCCTACACAAAATATCTTCCCACAGTGATAAATGCATGGCAACCCTGTGCCCAAAAAGGGCCGGGGTTAAAGAAACCCTTACAACGTGACTACCTGAAGCCATTTCTTCCTCATCATGTTCACTGACATGGTTCAAAAGGGCCCAGCTCTCCCACATGCATTGCATATGAAGATAAGGTTCCTGGCTTGCAAGTGCAAAATCCAGCTGTTGCTGGCAGCATCCCGAGTAATCAAGTTACATCATCAAGTTCAAATCTCTCTAGCCCTTACACAGCAGACTTTCCATAATTATGGACCAAATCTCTGATCAGGAGAGTGCAAGATATAAGATGCAGTCAATATCCTCATTCATCTACCGTATTTATGTCAGGCCCACAGGGGAATATTAATTTCCATTCTCACTCTACAGTGAAATTTATGTGTGACAGTCAAGCAGGCAGCTGCATCAAGCAGTTTAATAATTGTCTATAATGAGTGTGTGGATGGTGATGATATTACACAGGCTGACTGTCACTCTGTAATGCCTGTACTGACTCATCAGGAGCCAGCAGCACAGGGACACTGTCTGGCTCATTCAATTATGTTCCCTCTGTTCAGTGACTCTGGTTAAAGGCCTGACAGTCAAAACAATGACTATGTGAATTATGATGCATAATCTACTACAGCAACAGGAAAGACCTCAGCTCCAATGCTCTGAGAGAATTTTACAGGCATTAGAAAAACAGGAATAAGAAATTCTTCATCTCTTCTGTAAACTTTAGCCCATAGCACAACACCCACTCCCTCCCCCCACTAAAACACACATTACAGCCCATTCTCAGCGTGTAACCAAACCCACACACTCCACACACACAAGCCAGCTCCAAGCAGCTGGTTCACCTCATGGCTAACAATGGATTAGCTGGGAGATTTCGAGTCCCAGCTGAGCAAGAAGGTTAATCACTCCTGCCTCAGTAATCTGCAGCTCCACAGCTCTTCTTGTCAAACTCCAGTCTCATAGCTGACCATACTAAGATCTGGAGGTCAGCATGCCCTAGTGGGTAAGTAAACACCTTCTAACCTTTTCCCAAGCTCTACCACTTGTCTGGTAGTAGAAAAGCCTCCCTGCAACATCTCGTGCCTTTGAAACTCCTTAAGTGTGAATGGTTTTGGTGAGGACAGAAAACATCTGAAATGAGCTGTCAATCAAAGCACAGCTGTGATCACAGTGGAGTCACAACCTTTAACTCCTGCACTTCCTTAGTCATACCTGAGGTTTAGTTTCATCTTCATCCTTGTAATAGAAGAGCTGATCCCCACGCAGCACAAACCACCGCTGCTGCCAGTTCTTCATAATGCTCCTTTGTTTCTTCAGCCAGCCACACTTCAGCACACGATCCTGAGGGTTTGGAGAACATGGTCTGGAGGGAGGCCCAATCTGTTCACCCATCACCAAACTCCTTGACCGGGCTGAAAAGGCAATTACAGAGTAAGTGAAACAAAGAAATAATAGTAAGAACACTCAGAGAGGCTAAATAACTGTTCCACACTTCCTTCTCAGATATGGACAGACATGTTTCCTTTCTGAACAGGTACTTGTTTTTCAGGGTGCACATTCAAGTTCATGATAGTTAAACACAGGACAAACATCATCTTTTTTGATACTGTTCACTCCAGAGTGTCTAAAGAGACACAACACCTCCACTGAGGCTTCACTGCTCATACAACCATTCCTTGTGGCAAGTCATCATTGCCTCCCAGCTCTACATGGGAATAATGATATTGCTCACTCCTGACAGGACATTTGCCTGATGAGGATGTGCAAATGTATGGTGAGGGGGCACAAAGAGAAGGAGAGGGTATAAAAAAAATATTCTCACTCCACACACTACCAGTTTGGGGTGATTAGCCAGGGAACCCAGCTGCCATAGATGAGAAAAAAATTAAAAACTGAGGAAAATTAAAAAAGAGATTTGTCAAACAAAGTAGTGACTGCGAGCCACACAAAAGACATAGAGATAACACAGCTATCCAGAATAATTGAAGTCATCTCTCTCTTCAGGGCATTCTGACACTGAAGCAGAAAAACAAAATTAAAAAATAAAAACAAATAATAAAAAGACAAAATAGAGAAAAAAAATCAACACATAAATCTGAGGTAGGGTTTCAGAAACAGAAAATAAGTGAGGAAAAGTTTAAGAAATAGAAACCTTTTCTTTCCTCCCCTCTTGCATTAAGAGTACTGAAGCTTGGGGCATTTAGAATTAGTCTGGAGTAGCAGACAATGATTATATATTGCAGACATCAAGCCAGTCCTCCACAATAGATAGGTTAAGTGACCTCATAGGTCTTTTCCACCTCTACCTCCTTTGGATTTATGAAGTATCTTATAATAATAGTTATTAAATATTTCATGCCATTTTTCCTTCATTAGTGATAGTATTATCCTGCTCCTTCCCATTTTCTGCATTCAGCTAACTTGAAGCACAATTTATAACTGCCCACTTGGAACAAGGCAGGAGTTTACAGGCCAGTACCAGTAAATCTGCATCACTAATATCTCACATCAACACTGTGAACTGTTGCAGCTGAAAGCCAGGCAAGCTTCTTATCCAGTACCCCAGATACATAACAGCTAATTCAAACCATCACAAGGAAGGGAAAGCAAACCTCTGCCTCTCAGAGTACGGTCTAATTTTGCCTCTTTTGGGTTCAGAAAACTAAACATGGCCTTAATGTTACCATGTGATTTGTTTCTGCTCCTGGTGCCTCACCACACAGGGATGAAACTGCCGGCATTTGCCAAAGAAAGAAAAATAATGAGGATGTTGTGTTGTTTGGGGAATTAAAAAAAAAATAAAACAATCATATTTGCAACATTAAAATTGATCCTATTTCTTCACTTCCATGAAGCAAACTGCAAAATAAGGAGAGGCAGATAAGGGACTTAGGTCAGATCTTTAAAGAGCCTCCTCAGTGTAATCCAGTGAGGGAAATGACATTGGTGTCTGTGATAAAATCTTCTTTGACCTTCCTCATGACCTGGCAGTCAGGTCATGGTGTTGTGCTTTATCAAGAGCTCTAAACCAGCACATCTACACATGAAACACTTCCATCAGCAGAGGGCAGACCTGAATGGATCACATCCTCTCATTATCAAAAAGTCTCCATGGTACAATCTCCACTTCTATAGTTTCATTTACCTTCTCCTTCCACTCTGTCTTAAGGATCCACTCACCTCTCCTGTAACCATCCAGCAGGCACTCATACTGACCCCAACAACCTTCCAGTTTTATAGACAGAAGATGCATCACTTTGTTAAATTTCAGACTTGATGAAAACCCTGTCTGACAGGCAGTATGGATTTTTTTTTTCCCCCCATTTCTCTAAACTGCTAAGGTAAATCCTGCTGCTCTCAACAAAACTGTGAAAAACTGGTTTTGTCTTTTGGCTCAATGAAGAGAAATTAATTTTCAAATTACAACTCTTTTGTGATGTAAGAAATTAATTTTTTATTTTGTTTTTAATTTCACTTCAAAATTAATTTAAAAGTTGAAATGTTGTAAGGAGGAAGATGCTACTGCAGCATTATAGCTTTTTCAGAATTAGTCTTCCTTTACTTTATCTCCACACTGAAGTACCTTAGCAGTCTCCAACTTCAGCATGAAAATCCCATCAGCCTCCAGTTTTCCTGACTTGCATGTACTTATATACACCCTCTGCTACTTTATCTCTCACTCTAAAAAGAAATTAGTTTTATTTAACTGGAAACCTACCATCTATATTGGCACAGACCTCACAAAAGACACCAAACATCTCGCTTTGAAATGTTACCAAGTACGTTACCTTGTATGTTCCTTTAGCCCCCCTTTGATACTATTTGTACTGCTCACACAGTAATTATTTATTTTAGTCAAGAGTTAAAGCTTTCATGATCAGTCTCTGGAGAATGCAGAACTTTATTTTATTTTATGCAGCACCATGTCTCAGTCAATCGCTATGATTGTTAATTCTTAATGCCGTCTTAGCTTTCCATTTCCTTCTTTTCTGGTCGTGACTGTAATAGTTAATTTCATTAGGGACATACTTAGCAACTTCATCTGCAAGTCAACAACATGGATCAGATAGAAATTTTTAGAAAGGGGAATTATTTATGGCTATTAACAGCATTGATGCTTATATTGCATGCTTCACAGAATACAATAATTGCATAGAGGTCAGAATGAGCACGGCCTGCTTTTAAAGCAGCAGCTATCTTAGGTTACTGGGATCAAAATATCTGCTTTGATAATCTAATGCAGTACACCAAGCCCCCGATTCTTAATGGTAGAAATATATTATTTGTGCTTATCTATTTAACAGAATTATGGAATCAGCAGAACATAAGGAAGAAAACAAATCAATAAATCAGACTCACAACTCAGCAAATATTTACATGCTCTGGAGTTCTGATCCAGTAATGTGTTTTCAATAACACCACACAGGTTGGTTTCACTCTTCACATTGTCATTAGTTGATTATTGATTTATTCATACACCTAAGTTCCAAACAGAAATCAGTGTACAAAGGATTCAAACTGTCCTTGGGAAAAGGGTTAGGATTCATTTGCACAGCACAGCAGTACTGAAATGCCAACCACAACCCACACCACCCCCATCCCAAAGCAGGGAAACAAGGCAAGTGCAGCACAGCGAGGTGACAACAGACCGGGCAGACCCACAGGTGGCACTAACGAGGCAAGCCATTCTGGGATGGAAAATCATTCTGTAAGGCAAGAATCGCAATTACAGACCTCGAAATCACTCCTGTGACTATGGAAGTGACACTGGCACATGGAAGTTCTCACATCCTGATGAAGATGGGAGGAGGAATTACGAGCCAAGGCAGTGAAGTGCTGCTCAACACTCACTGTGCAAATGCCTGAGACTGCATTGAATAACCTCCCCTCCAAAACCCCATACTTGGTTGTCATGCCTCTAAAAGTAAAATCAAAGATTATCCTAAGGAGTGGATGGGTCAAATTGGATGGAGCCACACTGCCCTCCTTACAGAGGCAGCAATCCCTGTCCAGAGGGCCACACACCACTACAAGAGCTCCTCTGCAGCTCAGACCTGCCTCCAAGAAATAGCCACATTCCTGTTTTCTCATGACATTTATTTCCTACCCTGAGCATGCACATAATGGAGACAACATCATCCCTTCCCTATCCATACCATCCCCCCTTCCTGAGTTCAATCCTGCCTGGCAGTATTAAACAATTTTTCTGCTCTTCTCTCCCACTACCAGCTCTGAACACTACTAGAGATTTGAGCTTTCAGTAAGTACTTAAACCAGACATGGAAATCAATCAAGTCAATGCAATTCAATATCAATTAAAGATGTAATCTTTTGAAATTTCATAGGCAGTTAGCTAAAATCAATATAGTCATTATAATTGATTTTGGCCAACAAACTGTCCTATAATAAAGGCACTTTGCTCTGGTGTTCCTTCAGTCTGATGACACAGTGACACTACATATTATTTTTAATAATCTTCATTTAAAGTACTAGCCACAAAGGGAAGTGGCTTCCCATACTATAGATTATATTCTCAGTTGGTTTATTTAATTCAAATTTGGCCTTACAAAAAGGATTCACTGGAAATGCAGGTAATATGGCTATAAACAGATACTGAATTTCCTTTTACTGAACTGTAGGCAATAAAATACTTGGTTTAGATTTTTCTGTGTCCATCACAGAACCATATCTTTCTTTGAATTTGATTGCTAAGATACCAGAGTCAGTAAGCACAAACAAAACCAAGGTACTTCCTCAGTACAATTTGAGAATTAAGCATCTTGAAACACAGTAAGTCAAGAATTAAAGGCATAATGTCTGAAGTGGTTGGTGACAAGATATTTTTAGGCAATTAGAAGAATATCAGTTATAAGGAACTGACAAGAGCTTTTAGCTCCCTCAAGACAGAGTAGCAGTCTCTACAGAAACAAAAAGGTGCTACACAGCCATGTAGCTGCTCACATTTTGTCATGTGGATGACAATTGCCACATTCAGAAACACCACCCTAAGAGCCAGCTTGTGCTCTATCATTTCTGCACCTGTCTCCTCACAATACTTTATAGAGCAAAGTGACATGCTATATTTAATTCCTTCCCTTGATTTTTTTTTTCTTTCAGCCAACGGCCTGGTGATGTCTTTATCACATCAGAGAACACACATACAGCAGCACAAACTGATATACATTAATGCAGGACCTTTCCACAAGTCAAGGAAAACCCAAGTATATTTGATAATCAATGCGATCCACCCCACACAATACAAAAATAAAACCAAAAACCCAACCCAAAAACATATAGTCAGTGGGATAATTTAATCCTTTTCTCCTGAAGAACAATTGACATTCATCTTCAAATTATTGTTAAAAATCGTCAGCATGTTGGACTTCAGGAAAAGTGAAGGATTTTGG